TGAATCGGTGTCGCATTTCTGTCGGATAATGCGACAAGACCAGTCGAACGTGCGGCAGAAATGCGGCAGCCGATTCAGACGTCGAATTTCTGACGAATTTCTGTCGAATTTAAATCGTTGAATTGAATTCGACACGGCAGAAATGCGACGTATGAACCGGGCCTTAAGTAACAAAAGAGCAAGAAAAGGAAACTCTCTGTGTCGAATAATCCAAATTTTTAACTGGAAATGTTTAACTTCCGAATGTAAAATTCAGCAAGCTATTAACACTCTTAGAATTACTCCTGCGGATGTCGGAAGAAGACAAATTACATGAAAAACATTAAAAAGGTTTTTTTTAGACAATAAACAATCGCCAAATTCAATTCAATTAAATAAGTTTCCGTTTCGCTTTGCTAGCTAATGGGTATCGAATTAACCGGCCATGAAAAAGAAAAAATAATCAGCCATATGTGTACATTGCTTAGTAGTCTAAACCACCAAAGAAAACATAATTGGCCCATTTTTCTTAACTATCGACAAATTTCAAAGGATAAACAGTGACGATTTCATCATTAAGCCTTTATTCTGGACCTTTCACCTGCCAAAGGTCTATTTCCCTTTTCCCCTATAAACACTTACATTGAGATCTGTTGGTGCTATTCATCTGTATTTTGTCTTCGTGAAATTGCCAGGTCTTATTGCGCAAAACAGGTGAAAATACGTTTCTTTTCATTTCCTTGAAGGCAGGTTTCTTAACTTCATTGCTTATTTGTTTGTTTGTTTGTTTGGTTGGTTGTTCGTTTTTCCCTTTTCTTTATGTTTTTTTGGTTTGCGCGTGCGATAACTGCGACAAACTACTTCAACTACTTCTGCATTCCAGCTTAACCATTAAGCCCTCGTTATTAAAATTCAAATCCCTTTACAGGTGTGTTTCACACATTATACAATGGCGGGGATATTTCTAATTGTTTCTCTATAGATCATGCAATTTTTCACTCGAGAATCGAAAGAAATTCGCATTTGCTTTGGTTTTACATTTCTACGTTACGCGATCGGTTAATTAAAAACACGCGCCACTTTCTCATTCAGTTATAAGCAAAACCAAAACCAATCGTGACACGCTAGCACGCGTTTTCCCGCGCTTCGCGTTAGCCGCATGAATTTGGTCGGAGTTTTGACTGTTTCCATGGAATGGCTGCGTCCTTTGTGATTGGCCAGAGTGTTACTTTGGTTTTGGTTTACGATACTCAGTTGAAGACCGCTACTAAGACAATGTCCTCTTGGTGATCAGTTCGTTTCTTCTCATAACCTGCTTGTGTGACCGCTGAATTTGAAGCATCAACTGGCCCGTCATGTAAAATCTATTTTTTTGTACAAAATTCCCGTCAAATGAAAATTAAAGTACCTTAAAGTATATTTACAACTGAATTACTCTAAAAACCCCGACGATGACTTCATGTGACAAAAACGGGATTTCTCGACGTTTTAAAGGACTGTAGATGAATTAAAAGAGGAACAAATAATAACAAAAAAAACATGTAAATAAATAAATAACAAAGAAATAACTAAAAGATAAAAAAAGATGTAAATAAAATAAATAAAGTAAAAAAATATTTATCCTCTGTTATTTTGACATCAAAGCCGTAGGAACCACGTAATAATAAAGTTAGTTAGGTTTTAGATTGTTTATAATTTTCGATGCGTAACTTAATTAAAACTAAATGTTTTACCAAAAAAAAAAGAAAAGCAAAGACTTATTGCAAAATTATCAACTATTGAAAAACCACCCTGTCAAAACTTAAAACAAAATATCTGGATTTGATTTTGCTACTGGTCTGAAGTTGCTCCCGGGTGCAGTTTATGAAAAACACATGTGTAACTTCCCGAAGAGAAACGCGAAAAATACGCGTAAATTTTCCACGACTCCTGGGCAGACAATTTGTAGAATTGCGAAACAGACCGCCAATACACTGCCATGACCCACAACTTATTTGAAGCTCGAACAGTGGATTACAATGAGTAAAAGGAGATATATATCACATGGAAATGGATTTCAGGAAAGTCCCAAAAAAATGTCGCTTGTCGACAACTGAAAATTAATTGTATGAAGTGGTCCCCTCTTATTCTTACGCAACTCTCAAGAAAGTGCCAAGATGTGTCCATTTTGTTTTTCTATTTTGTAGTGTTCTTGAGCCGAACACTTTGCCAATCAAATTTTCTTTCTCCGCCCAGTGGTATACATGGGTCTAACACGAATTTAAGAAGAAAGAAAAACATGCATGGGCTTTGAGCAATCACCCTTCCTCTTTCCCACGGTTGACCTCTACGTACAGATGTCTCAAAAATAAATAGGGCAAACCTATTAAGACTAAATTTGAAAATAACTTACAATAAATGCGACTTTCAAGCGCAATTCTGTTCCTCATTTCCACATGACGCTAGCTGAGCGAAACGTTACAAACACTTGAAACGAATTAATTTTGTTAGTGTAACTTGGAATTTAAAACATCGTTTCGTGTTTTGGGTTTTAGTGAAAATGCCCATTGTAGGATTTAATACTTGTATAGTAAAAATTACCACAGATCCAATATTTTATTAAAGAACGGTAGTACGGATTTATTTGTGACAAGTACTATACGATAAAAATGTTATGAAATAACTTAATACGCATGGCTTGCAAGAGAAATGTTTATAGTGTAACGGAAAAAAAATTTGTTTTAACCATACTTATACGTTTTCCATTACATTGTTTTTTGTTTTGCTTTTTCTAATTGAGTTTCGTTCTCGTGTTACGTTTGGTGGGTATTAATGGACAAATAATGAAAAATAAGTTTCCAGCTTGGTTCAAGGAGGCTTGTCTTCCAAACATGACAAGTCCAAAGATAAAAAACACCTCAAGATTCTCGTGGGACGGCCGCGGGTTGTCGTTAATTTGCAAAATGGTTGTCCCTTCTTAATAATAAATGATACTTTGGCGGTTTGTGTTAAATTGTAAAACAAGGCATGGCAGTGTTTCAGTGCTAAACAAAAAGGTCAATTCTAACACCCTTAAGTTGATTTAAAATTCAAGTTTTATTTGATAAAGGTTTAGTCGTATTAGGTAATTTACTTCGGAGATTAATATTACATTCAGGTATCGAATGTAATTTAAAAAATTAAATTTTCTCTCACAGAACAAAAAAAGGTTTTGATTGATGTGTACTTATCTAGCCAGTTCCCAATTCATTTGCTATCAGGGTAAAATGCATTTAACTGATGTTTTACACTGATTGCTACGAAAACAAAAACATGAGAATGAATTAAAACGAAAATATGAGAAGAGGTAGTAATGGAAAAAGTAACAAATTAAAATAATTGCACTGAATAACCACAAGAAGAAACGACAGAAACAAGGAAGGGGCTAAGGACAGTAAAAGTAAGAGTCTTATTGAATAATGTAAAATCTTATTTTTTGACTTTTTCTGCGAACCGTTTCTTGTCTCGTTGCTATAAGCTAAAGCAGATCTTCTGCCTCACAGAAACCGTAAAAAATCAAAATAAGCTCCAGTTTCCGTGCAGCAGTTGAAATTAATGGTTTCTGAAAGTTTCACCTTTCATGATACATGTAGAGCTTTCAAATATTTGAATAATGCTCATTAGTACAAATTTTTGTAAGTTTAAAGATTTTTTACAAATGACATTATTCAAGCGGTTAAAACTTTTGACTGTCTTCTGTTATTAGTTTGTTCTCTAAAGAAGTGAGCTTGAGAAGGGATTGTGTTGTCCCGCAAGTTATGATCCGACCCTCGATGCGCCCTTTACTACAGTCAATGTCCATGTCACAAGTGTATATCACAAGAGTCTCGAACGTTTGGGTAAGGTTAACAAACTGCTGTCCCTCACATTTGATTTCTCGAAACGTAGCAATCTAAAATCTTTCCGAAGATTCCGTATTAACATAAATCCGGGACTAATATATATTATGGGGTTTGCAGAGGGATAGCAGAAGCCGATGGTTCACCGGCTAGTACCCGAAGCTTACCGCCATTTCCTCATGTAGCATGACAAGCAACAAGGGCTGTTGCTTCATCTCCTTCTAGATGGAATAATAGTCCAAAACTAGGAAATACAGTCGAACCACCACTAACGGCCACCTCCCTAAAACGGCCCCTTTTTTCCTGGCGGATGGTCCATACATTCAGTGCCGAAATAGCCAGTTGATTAAAGACTGACGAACGATGTATGCAAATGACGAACGGTGTACGTGTATGCACTATGTATTGTAAAAGGTCACCAAACTTGATCCATACCACTCCTGTTTCTGTTTGGTTCCTGTTTTATTGGACAGATATATTTTGATTGTGTTACTTATTTGTAAGCTACCATAATCAATTTTTAAATATTAAAAATGTTGAACCTAACGAAAAGAACCGGTGTTATATTACACCCCTACCTCCCCGTAACGGCCACCTCACCACAACGGCCGCTTCCCTCTGTCCCCATTGTGGCCATTGTCGAGAGGTTCGGCTGTATATATACATTTTTAGGCTACCTAATGATTTCCTGTTTTAGGTGTCTACTCCTGGCTGGAGAGACACGCAAACGCCTCTAAGTTCGTCAATTATACTCCAGTCTGGACCTCCAGTCGTCGTATTTTTAACTCTGCTGTCGGCGTTAGGAAATGTG